AATTATTTTTTATACAAAATGCCCATTTTTACATTTTTTCCTCTTTCATTATTTTTTGTATTTCACATTCTATTTTTTTTTAACAATTATTACAAAATATTTTTCAGTAATTTTAGTTTTTATTTTATATAGCCATAAGTGCTCAAAAATTAATAGAAATATTTAAAAATCAATATGTTGTACATTGATCATGCTGTATTCAGCAAACAACTCTCCACTGCTCAGGCTTTAGTTGAGGGAGCCACCTGCTCGAAATAAACTCCAAGTAGTCTACTATGCAAGCAACAGGTTGCATAAACTGCCTTGCGCTCAACATGCCTCTAATCCATTTACTGCTGATTTATATGTTTGTATTTGTATGTATTTGTTTAAAACAAATGCCACATTTTCTTTCGCCGAAATTCCAATATTTATGCCAATTTTTTTCTTTTTTTTACGATTTCGAAAATACATTTACAAGATTTTATTTCCACATAATTAAAATTATTACCATGTGAAACTGTCTGGTGGGATATACACATATGTATGTGTGTAAATATTTCAGACATCTACTTCTAATGCGATTTGGTCACGCTTGGCGTTAGCCACCGACAAGAGCTGCTCCTGCCACATGTGAGTACAGTCAACTTGCAAACAGCTGGGGGCATTAGTTAACCCCACTTGTGCCGCCACCACCGCTCATAGATGCACACACACACACACACACACCAATATTCAGCCACGCTTATCCGCTTAGTCGCCGCCTAAATGTGAGAAATTAAGTTGCCAACTGACTATAAGATATATGTATGTGGTATATTTATATGTATGTTTGTGTTATTAATTGCTTCTCGTACTCCATTCATCTGACAGATAATTTACATATATGAATGTCCATTGTGACAGTTCAAGTTCTAAGCCTAAGCCTTTCAAATTTTTTGTTAAGACTTTGCCTAAAAAAATGTAGTTTCGAATTTGTTTATGATTTCGGGGTCAATTATTAACGGTATTTATTTTGCTATTTGCCGCTTATTTGCCTAAAAAATGTAAATATTCATTTTAATTGATTTTTTTTTTTGGTTTGTCATCAAAAAAATATTTCTTGGTGGTGAACATATAAATGAAATATTTGCAAATTGCAATGATTTAGTGACTTCAAATACAAAATTTGTAATAAATTATATTTGTTGTTTAACATGAGCCGACATTCCTACCAAAACAAAAAATATATATTTAAGTAAATCAATGCACAAAAACTTTTAAATTGATTAAGTGGTTATTTGGTAATCAGTAGTTTGGTGGTGTAGGAAAAAGAGTTTTTTTTTGTTGGAGTAAATACATTAAGTGTGCATGTTTCCGAAAACCAGTAAGTGAAGACACAACACCGCTATAACAGGTTGTAGCGCTTTGTCTTTGTGGTATCGACGAACCTTACCACGGATGGATCGGAAATAAATGGAAAAATCGGTGACTCTAAATTTAAGCTTTCGAACTAACTTGGACAGCTCATAAGCCTTGGGTTAGCTAATTATGTACACTCTTAACATATTGGTGTAGAAAAAAGTTCGTTCGGTTTTTATCTAAGAGATGGCATTAATGTTCATAGTGCTAGTGTCATACTATATGGCGCTGAAAGCGTGTTTATTCGCGCTACAAGCTTGTCTTTGACAGTTTTTCGATTGATTGCCTCAGTACGTTGTGAGCGCTCGTCAAAGATGAACACCTGCATAGAGAAAATTCGCTAAATATTACAATTTTCCTTCGATCAAGGCGAAAAAGAGGCCAAAGCGGCTGAAAAAATTAATAAAACTAATTTAGTTTATGGTCCCGATACTGTAAACGAGCGTGTAGCGCAAAAGTTGCTTACTAAGTTCCGTTCCGGTAATTTCGATATCAAAGATGCACCACGCGTCAGGAGGCCTGTCGTCGAAAATCGCGTTAAAATCATGGAAATAGTGGAAACAGACCATCACGTGAGCACTTTTTCAATTGCTGAGGAACTAAAAATAAGCCAGAAACCCGTTCGGAACCATTTGCATAACTTTGGATTCAAAAAGAAGCTCGATGTTTGGGTGCCACACGAACTAACGCAATTAAACGTGATGGACCGAATTTCCATTTGCGAATCGCTGCTGAATCGCAATAAAATCGACCCATTTCTGAAGCGTATTGTGACTGACGATGAAAAATGGGTCACTTACGACAACATCGAGTGCAAACGGTCGTGATCAAAGCTCGCTGTGTATTTCGTGGTATTGGCAAGGAATCACCTACCACGAGCTGCCCTCTATGGCCAAACGCTTGATTTGCCCCTCTACTGCCAACAAATGGAACGCTTGAAGGCAGCACTCATCCAGAAGAGGTCATATTTGATCAAGAGGCCGAATTGTTGTGTTCCATCAGGACAATGCCAGGCCACACACGTCTTTGGAGACGCGCCCGAAGCTCCAGGAGCTCGGATGGAAGGTCCTAATGCACCCACCTTATAGTTCGGACCTGGCCCCAAGTGATTACTATCTTTTCCTGCCCATAGCGTACGAGCTTAATAGTGAGAATTTGTCCTCAAGAGAGACCTGTGTAAATTTCATCTCTTTGGCAACAAGTTAACGAACAAAACGGCGCATATTTGACTTAAATCAAACAAATTTGCACAAAGTTGTCATATTTCGAAAAATCGATAAATAACCGAACGAACCTTTTACTTGACCTTATATTTAACCTTACCGAAATCGAGGGCACCAGTAGGCCACGTAAAGTCTACTGCTCTTGAGATGAGTTGAACATTGACTAAATGAACTTTGAACAATAAAAAATAGTTATTATTCTACGTCCAACCATTGACGAATATAACAACAATATTTGTTGCATTCTAGAATCGGTACTATATTCTATGGAGGCCTGCAAGACGCTCAAGAATAGCTGAAAATATTGCTAATGTAATAGTATTGAAGAAAAACCAGATTTGCCCATTCCACGTCATTCTTTGGCATTCCACTAACGTTATTACACCGGATTTTGCATATAGACTGGGCTTAAGGCTAATAAAGTTTAGTTAATTCAATCTTTAAAATGCATGATCCGGAATTTCGTCAAAAAATCACCTTTTTTGACGGGTCCATTTCCACCTTAATGGCTACGTCAATAACCAAACTGTCCGTCTGGAGCCCGGAAAAAACAAGATTTATTTTTGAAAAGCCTCTCTATGCTCAACTGATTATTATTTTGGGCGGTTCATGGTCAGGATGGGATATTGGACGATTAGTAATTTTTTATGGCCGGAATTGGATGGTCTTCATCCAGATAAGGGTTATTTTCAACAAGACGGCGCTACGCGTCACACAGGCAACGCAACACCTTGCGACTTCTTTCGTTAAGGCCACGTGAAAGATAAGGTCTACATCAACAGGCTAACGTCGATTCAAGACCTTAAAGATGGAATTCGTGAAGCTATAGAGAGCATACAGCAGCCGCATTGGGATTTGGGGATGGAAACTTTCATAAAAATTATACGGTTGTGTAAGGGTAGCCGTGGTATCGAATACTCGATACTCTTATTGGGAAATCCTTTAAATGGTAAATGCTGATTAGAGTGCTCACAAAAAAGATGGGATTTTCATTCGATTGGGTCCATTTAAGTGCACCCTCAAACAGCACCAGCTAACTCTCTCTTAAACAAAAAGCAAATCAACGAGCACTGAACTAAATAAATTGGTTCACCTTATTGGATATAGAGAGAGTTTGCAATAACTGAGTACCGGATGTGTTGGTGAATTGCTTCAGAGGATGTTCGCTCGTCATTGCTCTGCAGTCTGACTTCTGGCTGGAACCGAGCTGGGGATGGCTTACCTACGCCGTCGAACACAAGACCAAATTTCCACAGTTTTCGTCTGATCTAATGCAAGGAATACTTCGAAAGAATTCATATATCCAATCGATGTGGTGTATTTAATAAGACAAAAGTTATTCTCTTTAACAGCAAGTACAACATCAAGTTAGTTCGGTCTTCAGTCCTAAACGTAGTCCACCTAAGTCTAGAAGCAAAAGGGAATTTTTTAAAAATCATTTTGGACAGCAAACTGAGATGGAAAAAGCATATAACTCAGAGATAAGAGCAACTTCAGTGATGTTAATGATATGTACAGATGTCCGGAGTAGGCGAATGTTTAGTAGTGCGAGTCCATACGGAGGCTCGTGTGCTCTACTGCCTACATATAAAATTAGTTCACATCCGATAGCTTCGCGTTCGGCTTTTCGTTTAAGATAACACAAATACTATAGCTGTCAGTATACTCAAGAAACTCTAATGGTTGCACTTTTCTACCAATCGCAGCGATCGTTGCGTTCCTTATTTGGATAGCCAGTCAAAATTTATGAAACTAATTTCTGGCAGGAAAAATTATACAAACAAATTTGGTACTTATGCCGGTAACAATAGAGTTTAAACTTCACAGTAGTAAGAGGAAGTATTCCCTCGCGTAACCCTTAATTGGAACTCTCTTCCAAGCTTCCAGATCATTTTGGAGTGGTCCAGATTAAAATTTTTGCTGTAAAGAAAGCAGTAAGGAAAGCTGTTTAACACTCAGAAAGAAGTGTCTTCATGTTCAGTGGCAGTAAGAGAACAGTAAAACTGTGGACTCAATCACGACAAATTCTAAAGTCATAATTGGGAAAGAAACGATATTCTAACTGTTGTGCGACTGTCCTACACTAAGCAGAAGTCGACTTCGGGATTTTAGAGTTCCTTTAATGGGAGGCTTTTGCCGTGCGGCATAAAGTAAAGTAAGTGACCATAAGAAAGTCTGAATGGATCAAAAATTAGCTCTGAGGCTAAAGTGTTTAGATGCTCGCATATCAGGAACCTTTTCTACCTGCCAAAGTAGTGATCTCTTACTAAAAACCTTTGACTTTCTTTTATTTAATTCACTAAAGAGATCTTCTATTATCATCAAATACACTGTTTATTTATTTATCTGCATAATTTTTTTATTAACTCATTCATTTTATCTGTCTTCTATTTGCAGTATTGCGCATGCTCAACAGTCAATCGGAATCCCTCACCGATGGCGGTCTCTTTCCGCCACTCTTCAACGTCGCGCCACGCGCACACATCACCGTCAACGCCACCTGCGGACAGAGTGGGCGTGAAGAGTATTGCAAATTAGTCGATGCGTATCCGCATAAAAAATGGGCCACACAATGTGGCATTTGCAATGCACAATCTTCGGATACGGCCAAACAGCGTCCAATCGAGTCTGTCATCTCCAATGCGAATTTCGACGATGAACGTTGGTGGCAATCGCCGACACTGCAATATGGCCGGCACTTTGAATATGTCACCATAACATTGGATCTGCGGCAGGTAAGTGAAAGACATCGGAGTGCGGCATAATGTGAAAAACAAACAAACAAAAATTTTGAAAATTTCAATCCCGCTGGCTATGGCTGCTCCACAGTTTTCACAGCCACTTTAAATACTTTCATAATATTTTGATATTTAAATCAATATTTGGACGGTAGAAAGTGATCGATTAGCGCTACTGCGGCGTTTGTGTGGGTTGTCTTACGATCACGGTTGGCGATATAGCGACCGTGATCACTGACGATCTTAGGCGATCGCTGTAGTGTGTCTTTCAGTTACTTGTTTTACTATGTATATTACTCTTGTCACAGATCCTGTTTCGATTAGCGCGTGTGTTTTCTCTCTCTCACTCTCTTCACTTGCCACCGCGCTGTCCTCTCACCTACTTTCACGCTGCTATAGGCGCTTGATGGATGATGTCAATTAAGCCGCTGCGACAGCTTCATGTAGGAATGCACTTCGACTGATCAGCAAGACTATACGAACTTGTACTCGTTTTGTGTGTGTGTTTGTGTGTGTGTGTGTGTGTTTGTATGTACTAACATTGATCTTGTCGCTCTTTAACAGGCGTTTACTTAATTCGATTAGTTCGTGTTAGCGGCATAGATAAAGCCGTCAAATATGACGGAAGCAAATTGCAGAGTTCATCACATCCCAGTGATTAATGGTCACAACGCGAACATTTGCCGATGATAGACATCGGATAAACGAAGTATGCAGAAATGCAGAATGCTTATAACAAAGCGCAAAATTACTTTGCGAAAAGGAAATAAAAAACGATTGAGTTGTTGTAGAATGTTGTAGATCAAGTGGCAAGCAGACATAAATGGCTTGAGAAGTGACTGCGCCAAAACCGAGAGCAACAAGAAATAATAATTATTATTGTCAGCAATGTAATTGAAAATCTTTTTTGTGTTATGCGTTAATTAACCTATAAATAACTCATAAAATACTCAGACACCCAAGAATGTACGCAAGACGAATCTTATAATCTTATAAATCAAAACTGAGTGTACTCAAGGACTTGAGAGCTGAGCTGCAAGTATTTGTTTACAACGAAATGTCATAAATTTTGTGCGCGAACTCTAAACAAAGCGTACACTACACTCCTCCCCCAACTGGTGTGGAGAAGGATTTATGATCATCTGGCTCTGGCTCGTTTTAATTATGGCACGACAGCGTGCACTCACATTTTATACTCTTCACTCACGTATATATACATACGTGCTTTATGTTGCCAGCTTTAATTAATAATAATTGAATGAGAGTTCACATGTCATGAGGCAGTTGAGTGGAGCACATCTGTTGAGACTTCATACAAATTAATATTAAATTATGTTTTGTTTTTGCAATATAATGAATCACTGCAGGCGGTATTAAAATTTATTATTTTGAAAAATAAAATAAAATTTCATGGATGACATTTATCGCTTTTCAAGTAATTCAAAAAGTTTAAAAATAATTCTGGAAGATGTGCTTCACACTTCCTGTTTCCTGTAGCGGCGTCTGTAATGTTTTTTTGGAAATATATATGGTATTCAAGAAGATTGTTGAAGACTGCCTTAGAGGCACAATCTTCAGCTACAAATGTCGCTGTTGGTCGTGCGGTAATGTGACTGACTCATCAGTGCATAAATTAACTGAATTTAATTTTTTTTTTATGAAATTCGTTTTCTATAAGTCTTATCCTAGGCATTATATGTGAAATCCTACATCATGCAAATAAGCGTTTCGCGAATTTTCGCTAACTACGATCCATTTTAAGTAATTTTCGACCACTTTTTCGTACAACATATAGGGTATCTCAGTCATAACTTGTCGATGATTGGTTTTCAAGTGGTCAAGCGTTAAATGTTTATCCGCACAAACATGACACAAAAAAGAGTCTAAAGTTTTCAATTTGCACGATCTCGGTGGTCAACTGGCATCGCCAAGACGAAATATTACGTGGCCGAGAAATTTCTCTCATATTCGCTCGGGTTGTGTGGCATGTGGCACCATTTGTTGCAACCACTAATTAGTGTATTCCAAGTCGTAGTCATTAATTGCAAGCCAAAAAAAGTAGGTTGTAGTTATGACAGTGACAAGCTCACCGTAGACAATTTCAAAGGAGTAAGGTCTAATCCCACCTCCGTACCCAAGAGTGCACCGGATAGTGAGCAATTATTTGAGGGTTCCTGGAATCCTAAATGCAACAATTTCGCCTATTTACATTTCCTTCACGTGAGAAATGTTTGTCGTCGCTGAAGAAAGTTTTTCTTCTTGTTATTCAAGCTCTCAATCGATTTTACTATGAGCAAAAAGTAAGGTGAATTTTTAATTTGAGCTTCGCGCGCTTAATATTTCGGTTTAATTTTTTTTTAATCTTGGTAGCACTGTTATTGACATCTACGCCAAATTACATGTCCATGTCTTCATTGGTATGTTAGTTAGGCTTGTGTTCGTGGTTTTTGCATCACGATATTGCGCACAGCACTCATTCTTCATGATCATTTCGCTAAAAAATTCCACTAATATCGTTCTCCAACCACCGTAATCGCCGGACTTAGCATCATGTGACTTCTGGCTCTCCCAAAAACTAAAGAGGTCACTTCGAGAGCACCGTTTTGAGTCGACCGAGGAGATTAAAAGTGAATCGGCGCACTCTCTGAAGGCCATACCGAAACGTGACTACTTGACATGCTTTGATGAGTGGAAAAAGTTTTGGCATAAGACCATTGCATCGTCAGAATACTCTTCACCTTGCTTTTTGCTCACTTAGTATCTATATATATTACACTGTTTTGAAGTTGACCATTGAGTTCGACTTACTTATACATAATAACTATAGCTACAAGTCCAAGTGTAAAGTATGATATAGTGTGCCGCTAGAAAGGACGAGCTCTTGAGAATGTCGAGTTTGCCAACACTTTCGCTTACACCAACGATATTTGAGGCAGAACTAGCAAGCCGATAATACACAGCCTTTACAATATCTGTACCAGATTCAACCTCTTGAAATTTTTTTAAAACTTTACCAATTGCTTGAGTAGTTGGAGGATTTTGTACACCATACTCTCCTCTTAGGGATGAAACGTAACCACGGTAAACACCATTTTTGTCGTAGGTTTTAAGAACTTTAGCGCATTGTGCTACACTACGTGAGTTAAGTTTGCCTGTTTGGCACAATATAGTCCTGTACTTTTAAAATCTCGAAATGGTTAACCCTATTTATAACGTCCTACCTAACGGGTTCACATGCCGGTGCCACTAACTTCCAAAAGTTATGAAAAACTAATTTAAATAAAAAAATTAAGTTAAATTTTCTAATTGCGGTCGCTCCTCGGCAGGTCCCTTCGAGTGCATTTCGGACATTATGTATAGGCTCCTGGTAAAAAAACCATTAGCCGTTCGGAGGCGGTTTAGTATAAACTTTAGGTCCCTCCATTTGTTGGTAAAACATCAAGACGCAAAACCACAAATTGGAGGAGGAGCTTGGCCGAAAAATCTGTTCAGCGGTTACAAAGCGCCAATTATATCAAACTCTATCTCTATTTTTCTCTTTCTCTCGCACCCTATCGATCTTTTGCACGGGTATATGTTGTGTCCAATTTCCGTTGGAAAAAAATATTGTACGCGCTTTTCTGCCTTTCTAAACGTGAAACTAACATGAGAGGTGAGGAGCTTCAGCCTTTGGCTCGCCTCGTCATGAGCTCTATTATTGAAATATACGAACCTAGTGTAAGAACTGAAAAAGGCAGTATTTTTTTTGTAGTTTTATACGAGTATAGCAGTCCTGAGTACCAGACTAAGTCATATGCTGTTCTTTCGTCCAAACTGTAGTGCATGTAAAAGCAAATTGTTGATCGCGAATGATTGATTGATTGATTGATTGTAAGGTCCGAATAAATATTATTTCAAGCATTTTTGAAGAGATCTGTATGAGAATAACTAATTTTCAGCTGAGTTTGGCTTTGGTACCAATATTATTCCAGCACATTTTCAAATCTCGTGAAAATGGCTGAACTTAAGATCCCAGTTAAAGATCAACACTAAAACTCTAAGCATTTCTTTGGAAACTACTTGGCTGCCAATGCATTGATATTATCACGAAAAAGAGCTTTTACACTTTTTATTCGTAAAACTTCAATCTGAACCACTGATACTTTTAAAAAGAGTCTGGGCCAAGCGGAGTGTCGTTGCGATGCTCTGTCAGTTGGTCGTCATTGCTAAGATGGAACAGTTAGATGTGGTTTTAAGGTGAAAGGAAAAAGCATGTGGCTTACTTTACTCTTACGAAGCTCTGTGGTAATGGTAGTTCTCCAAAGTAAAGGGTAAGTTTTTAGCTACTATCTTTTTGGCAACACTGATTTAAACAGCTGACCCATGAATCGTCTTACAAACGAAATTATTGAATTTTATTATCGAAATGCGTGCTCTGTTATGAAAGTTCAAAGAACAAAAAAAAAAATCGTGTTCAGCGACGAAGCTCACGGTTTTTTGGGGTTTATGAGCTGGTAGCATCATTGGACCGCACTTCTTCAAAGATGATGCGAATCGTAACGTAACTGTGAATAGTGAGCGCTACGGTGAGTTGATATCAAACTTTGATATCAACTTTTGCTTGACTTGCATGACGTGTGGTTTCAACAAGACGGTGTCACATGTCACACAGCACTCGTAACGACGGACTTAATGAGATGCGAGATCGGTTGAACATTTTATTACACGTTCGGGGCCGGTCAATTGGCCGCCTACCCGTCTAGATCGTGCGATTTAAAACTTTGAGACTATTTTTTGTGGGGCTATATTAAATCTCATGTCTTTACAGACAAACCCGCTTTAATTCACGCATTGGAGGACAACATTGAAGCATTTATTCGTGAGATAACGGCCGAAAGGTGGGAAAGAGTATGCCAAAATTGGACTAAGCGGATGGACCATTTGAGTCGAAGTCATAGTCAACATTAGCACGAAATAATCTTCAAATCTTAAATTATGTTGACTGTACTATCGATTCA